TCCCTACAGAAGGACAGCCCTCAGCAAAAGGGCTCCGTTCTTATCTATTCTGAAATACGATCTATTACTAGTGCTCTGGTTTTGTGCTAATGATTCTTATATGCTTTGACATGCCTTAATTTACTTACGTTTTCAATGTTCCAGATGTCATGAGTTCCGTCACAAGTACAATACATTTTTTTCCTTTGACTGTAGACTCCCAGGAATCATAGAACCTGACAATATTGGGATGCTGAAGCCCTTTCAGCATCCCAGCTTCCTCTTTAAATCTTTGTCGCTCTGACTTGGACAGCTTCCGATCCTAATGAAAAAGAAAAGGTACATCAGAAAGCTTTATTTCTTACTGAGAGAAGCAGCAACTTGAAAACCATCTGGTACAGTCAGTAAACAAGTAAGAATCACCAGTCTTAACATGCCATTCGGTTTGCAATTATCCTCAAATACTCTATTTAGAAGACATTCTATTAAAGTCTTTTTTTATTATATATTTCTCCTTACAATCTGATTGCTCTCAGAAGTAAGAGCTGCGAGGCTGTAGATTATCTCCTCTTCCTGTCTCCTCCTCCCCTACTCTTAGTAGATTTTAGTTGTTACCTGACTTGAGGTAGAAGGGGAACATAATGTCCTCAAATATTCGAGTGTTCAAGAGCAGATAAAATTGGATCGTTTAAAGCATCTTTCTCATGTTTCCATAACAATAATTTTCAGTTATTCCTACATGTGCACCATCCAGACCACCAGTAACAGATGGGATTAATCCTCCACATAGGGGGTAGCGCATCAAATCTCTCTAACTTATAGTATGTGCTTACAACTGTAGAAGAACAAGTGAATGAGCTGTATTTTCTTTAATTAAAAGCATGACCTCGTAATTGAGCAAGTTTCTTGTAATCTAGCATTAAGGAAAACAAAACCACAACTCACACTACAGACAGAAGAAAATCTTTTGACCAGAGACAGATAATGAAAAAGCACTCCTGGACAATACTGTTGTGTTATCTACCAACAACTGGCTATCAGATATTGTCAAGACTCTGAGCAGCTATTATCAGAATAAGCTGCACATCTCAAGAAAAAACAAGTCTCCTTGTGTCGTTCAGTGTTCTCAGCTTACCAATGCACTGGTTGCACCAGTCAGACTGATCGACTGACATAAATTGGATCCATATGCAGTTTGCATTAAAAAAATTTCAGGATATACTTAAAAGCTCAGAATTTTAGAATAATTGTTTCTAATGGTTATTTAGGAATAACTAGTGACTTTGTCAAATCTGAGTAATAATTTTATATTTATATTAATTTCATATTTCCTTTTCAGTTAAAAAGAGGTAGTAACAACCTGCAGGGTTTACTTAGACTGCTCACAACCTCCAGTGTCCTCCAGACAGTTAATTCCTTTATTTACAGGTAATGTGTTTTTGCAACACCATCTAGCCATGCTAATATCTAAACGATTTGATATTCACTTAGATAATTAACCTTTTCTAAGAGGTTCACAGAGTATCTTTGGGCATGGACAAACTTCGTTTCCAGATGAGGCTCCAATTCTCAGGAGAGTAAAATTCTTCCAGGGGAAAGTTTAAAAACAGGTTTGAAACTACCTCAGGGATCAGTACCTTCTCAGTGCCTAAGAATATCACTCACACATACTTTTACAGTTCTTCAAAAGATGCTAAATTCTTAAGCCTCACAGATTTACTCTACATACACCAAAAGCATTCAAAACTGCAACTATTTAACTTTGCAGAAATTAGCACTACCACCTCTTCTCACACCTTCATAAGCATAGTTGCAGAAATAAATTTCAATATAACATGTTTGCAGAAACACTCTGCAAACATTTAAGTATTCATACCCACTCAGGTGTTGGGTTTCTTTCTTTTTTTCTAATATGGAAGAATGCTTCCATTTGAGCTATGTTATCCATCTAATGGCTTTCCTTTCAATACAATAAACAGGGCAGCACGCATTCTGTTCAAAACCAGTTCATCTTGACTGCTACAAACAGCCGTGATACAGAAAAGCAGTGACCTGCAACAGGTACATCAGACCATACACACATGCTTCTAAGAAACACGTAGTGCTTCAAGCAATACAAAAATCACAATAACACAATCATTCGTACAGTAAAATAAAGTAGAGTCTTCTCAGCCTTTGCACTTGATCCATATAATCCACATCTTAAAACTACTGTATAGCTGTAAATCCAATTATTCTATATGGTAATATAAAAACAAGGCTGCAACAATTACTTTTCTATCACTTCTAAATTTAGCTATGTAATACGAATACCTGCACTCGTTTTTGTCCAAAACCTAGATTTTAGGTACATATTTGGCTCAAGCTTCCTTTATTTTGTGCACTCTACCAAGTTATGTACCACTAACACTACTAACCAGTTTTAGATGCCACTTGATATTAAGTTCTCATCTTAATCTATATAAACCTAATACTCCATAAGGGCCTTATTCAGTTTTCCCTACCACTGTACCACTAGCTCCAAATAAACTAAAATGTGCTAATCACTCTTACCAATGAATAGACTTAACGGGCACGCGTATTTTGACTTATTTCTCTTTCTGGTTATATCAACGGTAGCATCGTGTTCCTGCAAACTTATCTGTGATGTTTAAAACAGACACTCAAGACTTCAGTACTGACATTAAAAAGAAAAAACAACACCAAGACCATGACAACATACTAAGTAATACAACACTTCTTTGAAAGTCACAGTGCCCTAATGATCTGGGACAAGTTTGGACACAAACACAGGCCAACAAATTTCAAGCAGGGAAGACAGCTATGTTTTTGCAACCAAGGAAACATTGCACCTTTCAGTAGCATACTGCAGTGACAAAAGTGAACATTAAACAGAGCTTTAAGAAAAAGACAGAGAGGCCACTTGTTTCGTAAGACTAGCAATGCATACTACTTTTAACTACCCTCATTTCCTTGGATTCACAACCCA